CCCCAAAACCCCAAAACCCCAAAACCCCAATTAGCGATAATAAAATAGAAAGAGTGTTTTTAATGGAAGACATAATAGCAGACCCTACCTCTCTGAACGCCTACATCCGGAAGCAAGTCACTGAGCTTAACACGCCAGATGCAGATCTAGGTACGCCATTGGGTTAAAATCTTTAGAAATCACTGAGAACAATATAACCGAGCTTGTCACAGAGATCAGCCAAAAACATGACCTCCTCGCTGAGAAAGTTAATAAAGAGGAACAAGACATTAAAGAATTTTTCTTAGCCAGGATCAAAGTCATTATCGCAGCTTTGAAGAAGCGGGTGCTTACTAAGCCAGCAAACTTAGAAGAGTACTTCAAGATTTGGCTGGGCATCCTTCCTTTAGTTTCGATCGCTCATTTTACAGGTAAGTTTTCCCTATTTAATGGTTAGAAAATAAGAAGGCTAAAGACCCTGTAGAAGTCCTTCAGAATATGAACTTGGAATTTATCAATAGTCTCTTTGAGACTGTTTTTAAGGATGAAGAGATTGAAACCTGGTTCCTGAAGAATTATGTAGTAGAGAATATTGATATTTTAATCCTATTCCTAAAGTTCTTAATGAAAGAGAAAAGAGAGACAAAGCAGGTCGTGCAAATGCTTATTGATCTTCCTAACCCTGAAGGAGTCAAAAAGGCTTTCTTCTTTGATTATTCCAACTCTCTCGCAGAAATGCAGAAGGCCATGTTTGAAGAGATGATGGAAGCAGAAGGAGAAGACGACTCTCTCGATGAAGAAGATATCCAACTTCCTCCTGTAGTTGGAACTCCAGAGGAGGTCAAAGCTCTTCAGGAATATTGTAAGACTGCTTTTCAGGAATTATGGGATGAGACTTTACGCTCTCATGCCATTGACGCTGATACTATCATTCTGATCTTGAGATCAATGAACACTCAGATATTGCCCAAAGTCTCTAAGCCCATCTTGTTCAGTGATTTTATCATCGGAGCTTATAATATTGTAGATAATGTAGTTGGGAAGTTAGACCATAAGAAGATAGTTTTGTCAATCCATGCTCTCTCAAGTTTGTTCGTCTTACTCACCAATCACGGGCTGGATTATACTTCAATCAACTTCTATGAGAAACTTTACAGGCTGTTAGAATACCTTGAAAATATCTTCAGGATGAAAGAAAAAGAGAAATTCCTTAGACTCATGGAACTTTCTATTAAAAGTCCAATGCTTCCAGCTTCTATTGCAGCTAGTTTTATGAAGAAATTACTAAGAATTATCCTGAACAAGCATATGGCTCAGGCCTCATTGACTATCTGGGCAATTTCTTTTGTGTGAAATGTAATCAAAAAGCACCCAGTCCTCACAAAGATGATCAATGTTGAAGTCCAAAGAAAGTCTAACAGACTTCAAAGAATTGAAGAGAGGAAGGAAAGGAAAAGAGATAGGAAAGCAAGAGTCAAGATCTCTAAGGAAAAGCATAACCCTAGCCTCCAGGGATTCATTACCAAGGACGTGTTTGATATGAATGAAAAAGATCCTCAGAAGTCCAGAGCTCTTGAAACTTGTCTGTGGGAAATCCTTCCCTTCTTCAATCATTCCAGTAAGTTGGTAAGGGATTATGCCTGAGTGATCTCAACTGATTTCCAGCAGAAGAGGTCTCTTCCAAGTGAGGAATTAGCAAAACTAGATGAAACTCAGTTGATCAAATCTCAAATTGATGAAATATCAAAAATTAGGTCTATAAAGTCTCAAATGGTGAGACACATCACTGATATATACTCGGGATATGATGTAGAAGGGGAGAGAAAGTTCCAAGCTTACAAAGAAAAGCACCTCAGAGAGCAGATAGAGTTATTCCACTTAGAGAAGTCATTGCTTACTCGCCAGTTTTAAGCATGTTCAATATATCACACTTTTTAGGGGTTTTGGGGTTTTGGGGTTTTGGGGTTTTGGGG